CACACACACACACAGACACACACACGCCACTCCATTCGCAATTATTATCAACAAATCTCGAGAACGGAAACCGTTTGGAGAAATAGAGTTCAAGTTTATTTTCCTGAACGTTCGGAGAAATAGAGCCGGCCTTAAAATTAAGCTGTAATTATGAGTACCAGTAAGTATTAGGGGAAAAAATACATTCTGCTCTTGACTTTTCATTCTTGCATAACCATAGTGTTGCTCGTTTGTTTGGTTTTTTTTTGCTTGTTTTTTTTTTTCACAGTTGTTTGCTGTTCATGGTGTGAAGTGGCCGTAACCCAGCCCATTAAATAAACTAAACTTGGGTGGTTGGCGGGTGCTCTGGGGTGGTTTGCTCCTTCTTTCCTATCAAACATCAATCGTCCTTTTCTCCCCTTCTTTTTTATGTTTGTTACTCTCTTGTAACAACTCTAATCTGCTGGCGCTCATATGACCTTATGTGGGTTCGAGCGCCGTAAAACCTCTACTAAAAAAATAATAATAATAAACTAAACCTGAAACTTATCTAGGCCTGCACAAAACTTATTCTCTGTGCTGTTCTCTGTGTGTCTGTACTATAGGCCTACTGTATAAAGTATAAAGCACACCTGTTTGGTTGAGGGTGGGTGAGAATAGTGAGACATGGGCTGTTCTCACCCTGGTGAGGGTAGCCACTTCCTTTTGAAAAATATTTGATGGTTTTTGTTGGAATAAAAGAAAGGCAACACAATGCCAGTAATCGTGTAATACTATTTTCCCATGCTTTAGAGGGGGGGGGGGGTCAGTTTGAAGCCGGCATGCCCTCCTTACCTATAATAAAAAATCTGCGGGGTTTCACAGGGGGCATGCCACCTCTGTATTTCTTTATGATTTTGCATTTTGCAACTTGTATATTTAATATTTGTGTTAAATTTGAGTTTGAGATTCCTGAAAACAATCAATTCGTACAAATGTTAAGCCTGTATTATGGTTTAAAGACTTAATTAAAAATTGTTTAAGTTGTCATCTGTATGATAATTTTAACAAATCAAACCTGATGTAAGTGCAGAAGCTATCTCCCCAGACCTCTGTCTCTTGATATGAACACTTGGTGAAAAACATTTTTGGGTATGCTTTGATTGAAATGCCCCCAGCGATGTAGTTACTTTGGCCAATTGGGAATTGGGAGGGACTTGGTTATGCTAGGCATGTCAATATATCGTCGGCCCAGAGTACAACTGTCGTATGTCCATGTACTCCGTTTTTGAGAAATACGCCTTCAAAGTTTGAGATGCCTCCAGATTCAAATCAATCATCAACTCATTTATCTAACTGTAACCCATTGTTTGTGTGTAAATCAATGTTTCAACTTTAAAAGTTTTCACAGATTGCTGTTTTCCTGTGGAATTGGGAAAAGGTTTTTGTTTTAAGAAAACCTAGTGTTCTGAAAAATTGAACTGAATGCTACAAAGTACAAATGTTGTATCTCCATATATTAGGTTCTAAATCTCCATAAAATCTTGTCTAATTTCATGGCTAAGTCACTCGCCTGCAGACCAAAAGGTCCTCCTTGGCTCAAATTCCACAGGAGGCGATATGAAATCAAATTTTTTCAGAGTTTCATTGGGCTTTGAAGTCAATGTTTTATGACAGACTGATGTTGAAATTTGAGATGGCGTCTCTCAAATAACCTCACTGCGTTGCAAGGGATGTAGATTTCAACAAATCGCCATTCCAGCTGAATAGGCACACAGGAGTCCTTGCGTCCTTAAGAATATAATATTCAAAGCCAGTTGGGATGGATTCCCAAGCTATGCTTTTAGAGCCTGTTTTCAGTAGTTTTAGTGCTTTGTTTAAAAACAAGTTTTGATACTCACAGTGAAATAAAAATAGTAGGAATTGTTTCTGTTCAAGATTCAATGTTTTTTGGTGCTGTATGCCATGGTGAAAACTTAATTTTGAGAAAAACTATTTTTAAAATTCCTGTCACAAGTTCAGAATTTGTTGTTTAAAAATAGGCTTTTTTCAAGTTTTCGTCTTGGGTTTTCTAAGGGTACATTTAAATATATAAATGGTTTACTGATCAGTGAATAGTTGAGATTGTAATGGTTCCAAAGACACCGTCCATGAATACTTTCCTCTACAAGTTAGAGGGGACTTGATACTAAGGTTCAGGTTTCAATTATTCTGAGTGCTTACAAAAATAAAAACAAAGTGCTTACTTTTGTGCAATTTTCCAAGTTTTATGTACATTTTCATGCAAAACAAACCTTGGAAATGAATTTCTCGTACAATTTTCCGTCAAAAATTTGGAGTTAGTGTTGTGTCATAAGTTGTGGGAAGAAAAAAAGTATGCATCATGGAATTTTGCCATTTACTTATAAGTAATGATGGTTTGTGAAAAGTAGTTTTTCATATTTTATGTTACATTTCATGTAATTTCTTTTCTTTGCTTTTAGAGTCCTGAATCCCCCCGGTGGTGCATCCAGCAACATTTTTGGAGGTAACACAGAGGACACGCCCCCTCAGAAGAAACAACAGCTGAGAAATGCTGACAATGTGAATCGTGGGTCAAACGATATCTTCAACCAGGGCCCAGTGGGAGGATCGGCTGCACAAGACAAGGGACGCAACCAAAGAGGGGGTGAAGATTCTTTTCATACTTTATTTGGTGACCAACCTCCCTCAACCCAATTGTCTGAAAGCTATCAAAGTAATGTTACTCATAATTCCACGCCTCAGAAAGTTGATAATGAATGTCCCCCGAGCTGGAGAAGTCGTCCAAAGAGTATTGATACTTTTGCCAATGTTTTTGGAGACTCAAAAGCAAGCCCCAGTAGTCTGAATCCTAAACACGGTAGTCGTAATGATGACTCTTTCTCAAGGGTGTTTGGTGGGCCAGGCAGCCCGGCCAAAGAGGCTGCGGCTAATGAGGTGGAGTGTTTGTCATCACCCAGTCATCCACAGAGAAGTGAGTTGAACTGGTCGAACTCCCCCTGTTCCTCCATGACCTCTGTGAGTGCTGCAGGCTCACAACCAAGCCAGGTTGATGAGGAGCTGAACACTTCCTTCAGTCGGGTCTTCGGACTCTACCAGGCTGATGCGAAACCAAGCAGATCAAACCGAAACTCTGATAGAGGCGGTAGGAGGGTTCTGTTCTTTGTGGTGGCTTGCACATTCCTTGCTGTTGGTTTGGTTTGGTTTGATGTTCATTCTTTCACCGTTTGCACATCCTTTCTTAGTTATATATCCTTCTCTCCTGCTCTTTTTCATTTCCTCTACGGAAGTAAGGAAGTGGACTGGTAGTGCTGACATTCTCTCACTGACATTGGACAAATTTGGTGGCAGTGAGGTCACTGGTATTGTCTGGATGCTAAACAGTTCTAACAACATTCCACTCTTTTTTTTTTTTTTCACTCAACTTGTTGATTGTGCAGTGGTTTTACTATAGGACCCTCAAGTGGGCTGATCATTCTAGTACATAACAGAAGTAGTTATTCAGTTTGGTGGAGACAACTCATTTTTGTTTTGACGCTTTTAATCATAACCTACTTTCTCACTCACTGTTTTATTGTTTATATGTCTTTGTAATGGATATTTTTCTCGAGACAAATGTCAGCTGCTCTGTTCTCCTCATTCTACTCTTCAAGTCCAGGGTTTCTCTATCGAGGGTTCCTCTGTTGCTCACTTCCATATAAATTCAGAATATTTCTTCATTCATTGTCTTGAGTCTTGAGACACAGTCATCAGCTGCTCATGAAGATTTTTTGGTCTAGATTTAGACAAGCTCAAACGGTCAGTTGAGAAGCCAGAAGTTTTCTGGGTTTTGTTTTTGTTTATTGTGTTCTCTTGTTTTCTTTGTATTTGTTGCTGTTCTTTATTCTTTTTATTTGCGTAGTACATTTTGAAACTGACAGCAGTACAAACAAGCTAAGACTTGCTTTAATATGTTGCAAGTTGCTTTGCATTTTTTGTTTGTCTCAGTTTTTTCCTATTCCCCCCCCCGGCTTTTCCCCAGCTCTATATAGGCTTCATGATGTCCATTATTCTGTTTCTAGTACAGCGATTTAACCCCCTGGGGTGGTGCTACTGACTGAAGTGTCTTTGTGGGTGGTTGGTGGGTGCTCTGGTGTGGTCTCCTTCTTTCCTATCAAACATCTATCGTCTTTATCTCCCCTTCTTCTATTTTGTGTTTGTTACTCTCTTGTAACACCTTTAATCTTCAGCACTTTTATGACCTTATTAGGCCATTCCCAAAGAGGGAATATTAACATGTTCTTATGCACAGTAGAATTGTAAATAAATGGGCTGATTCATCAATGTCATGCTCATAACTGTGCCTGAACTGCAACAGGGAACTGCTGCTTTTTCTTTCCTAATCCTTACTGTGGTCAGTTTTCCTCTTCTTCTTTTGTATGTTTGTCACACTCTTGTGACCCGCTATTTCCAGGGTGCCTTGATAGTTGAAGCAGACTTTATGCTGTCGAGGCTAGAGAGATGAGCTGAGTAAGCCTGATTCCCTGTAAGGATTTCTGTTGACATCCACCCCTTGGCGCTCATATGACGTTATTCAGTTGCGAGCTCCGTTAAAATCTACTAAATAAAACTCAGAGATGCCAACCAGTACGATTTTACGTATTTTAGTACGATTTTTTGCCGAAAATACGCGAATACGACTTTTCATGAAAAAATACGCATCCTGGAATGCGAAAAATACGAGATTCAGCTTGGGCGAGTAAACCTAATTATCTCAAGTCCCATCTTTTAGTATCAGTATCGCAGAACTGGAATATTTGAAAACCAAGTCCGATAAGGACAGTAAGTTCATTTTTGCCGGTCGCCATCGTGATATTATATTCGTTCAGCTTTTCGCCATTCGGGGAGTACGTTTCACTTTCACGCGTATAGGCAGCTATGGCGGCAGGCGGAAGCGTATGTGACACCGAGGCTCGATCGGGAAAATCAAAATCTACTTTGGGGGCTCTCGTGGCCTAGAGGTAAGGTGTTGGCCTCTCATTCAAAGGTCCCGGGTTCGATTCCGGGTAGCGACCAAAAAATTTTCTTCTCTAAAATTGTCTCCTTTCACATCCTTTCCTGATCTCTAGCAATGTTCTGTTGTCTGCTTTCATTTCCACTTTCTGTCCCCACCCCCTCACCTCCTTTGCCCCCTCCTCTGGGCTCCTGACTCTTTCTGCAGCCTTTCTACTGCTACTCCTTGGCTCCTCCTAACTGCTGTCTTTCTGCCACACCCCTGATCTTCTGGTAGGAAAGATCTACACCTAGCCTTCTCGGACAAGGGCGAAAAATCTCGGAGGGCCCGTGTGCAAGTTGCGCACGTTAAAGATCCCTTGGTGGTCTAAAATCGATAAGAGTAGGCTTCGGCCGCCACCCGGGCAAAATTCAAAATTTCCTACCAACGAAAAAGTATTAGGTGTGTCCCGCGCGCTCATATGACCTTATGCAGTTGCGAGCGCCGTAAAACCCTATACTAAACAAACAAACAAACAAACAAACAAACAAACAAACAAAATCTACTTTCGCTTTCGCTACCACCAAGAAGTTTGCCAGCAGTTGTCTGATAACGCAACATTTGTGGCATGCAGGTTGTGCAGTATAAACGCAATGTCGCCGTGCAAATAAAATGTAATAAACACTCGGACTCGTCGCTTTGGCTATCGCTTGTGGAAAGAAAAGAAAATACAAGCGTCGTCAGATTTTTAGATTGTCTGTCTCGCCATCGTGACCGGTCACTGAACCTGCGCGCATTCGCGTCATAAAAAAATGCTGCATCGTGTGAGTAAAGACCGTCTTTGGTGGGAGTAACAGACGCTGCGAAGTATATGACTACAGAATAGGGGAGGAGATTATTGATTTTTTGGGGTTTAAGGCAACACCAGAGGACAAAAACTTGGAAGCGCATTTCAGAATTCTGATTAGAGCTTTCTGCCAAGCGCGCGTTGGTGCAGGCCGTGTGCGGAATCGGGACCCCTCATACTTTGCAAGTCTGTGTTATTGAAATAAAGTGTTTGCGTTTCATTTGATGGGTGGAAGTAATTATACCTACTTGGATGGGTGATAGTAAATTATACCTACGGAGTATGTTGTAGCTTTCTGTTCAAGACTGGCAGATTTTCAGTGTCACTGCATCTTGCCCTCCCACAGTTGTTACAACGTGCACGGGTCTACTTGAGCCTTTCAAGTTGTTGCTGTTCTCTGAGTTTGAGCAATAATTTGAGTCTGTCAGTTCATAAAATGAATCATGACACCCAGACTCTTGTTCTAGGACAGGCCCTTCCGAACTCTCAAAGCGGGATTTATTTTTTATATATAATAAGGAGAGGAAAATATATAACAGATTGAAATACTTAAGTCAAACAAGACCCCTGTACGACATTGAACACTGACATGTTGTTGACTGCATACATATATATTGTACGCGTGTGCTCCCTTTTTCGAGCTGGTGAGCTAGTAATTTTTACTACTACTAGTTGGTCGGTCGTGGGGAATACACATTTTCCCCTGAAAATACACATTTTCATATTTCCCAATACTCATTTCGGTTTTCTGTGGTTGGCATCTCTGAAAACTAAAGCTAAAGTACAGCAGTCTTCTTGTATTATTTTAAGTTACTCCTTTACTACCAGTTGTGTTCACTGTATAATTCGGCGTCATGCCAGATATTCAAGGTTCTGATAGTGTGGATCTATGGCACCTCAAAAACAATGTCTGTCAGATTCTTCAGTCACGTTACACCTGTAAAGGGGGTAGTAACTTCCAGTTTCTCTGTCCAGTGGACTGGAAAGCCTTGTTGGCTGCTACTTTCCTCTATTCCTGGAAAGATGTCTGCTTGTGATTACTGAGATGATAAGGTGTCACGGTGTGGTAATGGAAATTCCGTCGCGGTAATGTTGTAAAGTATTGATGTTGGGGCGTTTTCGTGGGTTTTGTCGTAAGTTTATTTAGCTACAGAAATGTGAACATTTGAACTGAAAGAGTGATGTTTTGTACACTTTTGTGTGATTTTACTGTTTTCTGATTTCAGTAGAAAAATTAATTCACTTTAACTTAAGAGGTCTTTTATTCCTTGACACACCGAAGTTTATTTAATGTGTATATATGTATTAAGAGGTTGTTTGTATTTATACTAAGTTGCCAGCTTTTTTATATTATATTACATCGCTAAACGCTGCAGTAATTTGTCTTCTTTTTTTAAATAGCTTAAAATGCAAGTATAATTTGCATGAGGTATTGCACGGATGTGCCAATAGTGCTGAAGAATATTTATAATATATATATGTGCAATTGGCTGCTGAAATTATTATTATTGTTTCCAAGTTAGCTTTTGCTGTTTGTTTAATTTCATTCGTTTATTGCTTATGGTTTATGTCCTGTGTTCATTTATAGAATATGTGTGTCCGATAGGGGCTCACAAGCAATTTGATCTAATCTTAGACAAGCACGTGTATACATAATTTGTCTACTTTTGGATCAAGTTTACGTACATCTTTGATTAACAGTGATTTAAAGAATATTTCTATATCTTTCATGGCATCAAGATGTGTATATTATGAGAAGCTTTCTATAATGGAAATCAGAAGAAAAAAACATACTCTTTGCTGGTCGTTTTGTTAACTGAAGTGGTAGATTTATTACTACTCTTGAATTACTTGATTCACAGAGCATATCCTGAAGGATATTTTATTTTTGTTTATCGCAGCTTAAGGACAGCAGCAGTCCCTGTAGCTATACTTACTGGCTTTTTTGACAATTCTGTAACTAGAAAAAACAAGTGGGCTTTTTGCAAATCCTTCTTTTTGACTAAATTGCTGTGTTTTTCTTTTCAGTCTTTGTTTTATCAATTGCTGCTGCTGGGTTTGTTTGGGTTTGTTTTTTTTCACTTTAATCATAAGACATGGTGATTACAATGGGTTTTTTTATTTGCTATACAAGCCAAGCTGGAATGGTTCCCCCATGATACAGACATTTAGGAATTGTATGTTTGTAGTAAAGAGAAGGGTACCAAAGACTGTGTGTTCTTCTCCTGTGTAAGGCTTTATGTCTTAAGTTAAGTCGCTGTTGCCCGTCTCTGTAATGAGGGATTAGACTCTTGACTGTTGAAGACATGATTCCAGTTCCTGAGTTCCGAGGTTGTTTTAGAAAGTATCTCTGTCTGTCTGCTGGGAGTTTGTTGTAACCAACCGTCTTGGATAGGCCCTGACAGGCAGGGTGCAAACAGGAAGCAGCCCGCCTCCGTAGTGATCTAAATTGTGTCAATTGTGGTGTAAACCTCATAATAATAAAAAAAAGTGAAGAATGAAAAAGACAAAAAGCTTGGGTCAGCTTTGCTAACAGTTTTATGTTTGTTTTCCTCAGCATACAACCCAATCACAGGACAGCCCTATGACACCCCCAAACCTCAGGCTGCGGCTCAACCTGCTGTAAGTTGGTGCAGTGATGTTTACTCTCTGTAACAGATCAATCATAGCTTTATTTTTTTATCCATACTTTGGGTGTCTGGGAAAAAAAAGAGGACCCACTTAAAGAGCCAATTACTTTTTTTCCAGTTTCTTGTGCGCTTAACTCACTGATAGCCATGGGTTGAAATCCCAATTTAACCCCTGCCGCCAGCATTCCTTGGGTGTTTTAGAACATTTATTGTCAGATAGAGCTATGCTAAGTAAACATTTGTAATTTCCACTATTTATTATTTTTGTGCTGCTATCTATTGAGGTGAAAACATTTTCAATGGGTGCCATACTTTTGTTTGTATGATTATTTGACTTTTTTTTCCCCCAGCAAAATAATTGCGATGCAAGTCTTCTAAATCACTTTTGTGACCATCTGGTATGCTTTGTTCAATATCAGAACCCACAGAAATGAATCATTTTCCTTTAGAGGCTGGATGACGTGTGAGTTCAACCTAAAATCGCGAAATACTCTGCCAGATCTAAAAATAATGGCCATTGTACCCCCACCCCCCCAAAAAAAGACAAAAGCTACAGTCATTGATCGGTGGACGCAAGCAACTACTGAATTAAACAGAAATGAATAAGCATGTTTTCTTTTTCCACAACTGTCGAGACTGATTATGGGTTGGTAAATAGTGTAAAAACAGCTGTGCCACATTGTCTTTGATCACACTCAGCTCCCTTTCTCACATGACTAGATTTAAAGAAATTCTATTGTTTACTGTGGATATTGTGCAATGATGTGTCTCGATACCAGCAATGTGCATTATGCTGTGTGTGGGGAAAGTCCATTGGCTTATGTAACCACATACTATGACAATGGATATCGCTAGCCGTGTGATTCAACCGCTTAAGTGCCAAGAGACTAATTTTTCAGGAGAAGCAAAAATCTGTTTTATTTCGTTATGCTCGTACCTATGAATCTGAATTTCAGGTATATGATATAATATGAAGTTGGACGATGGTCTGTAGCCAACTTTTTGGAAAAAAAGCTTCCTTACATAAGTTACTGGACATAGGCGGTTTAGAGCTACCAAAATCTGCGTGATTCAACAGCCTAAGTGACGATATGATAGCGTCTAGGCGTTTGAATCATGTTAATCAGCGCCAATGGTCGCTTGGGTGTTTGAGTAATCGACTAAAGCAAATAATAATAGTTTTTAAGAGTGATTATAAAGTTTAGAGTAAATATTTCAGTTATTTAGTTGGGTCTTCTGGGGCAGGACTGTTTTTGGCCTCATCGAGTTGGTAAAAAAGACCATTCATCTTATCATTCAATTTGTAGGCATACTGGATGTTTTTGGTCAGTATGTATGAAAAGATTCAGACCACAGAGATGAGATGTTGCCGCAGACTCCTTGACATCTCGTACAAAGACCACGTTTCAAATGCTGAAGTACGAAAGAGAATCACCAACACAGTGGGGCAATATGAAGATCAACTAACCACAGTGAAGAGACGAAAACTAAAATGGTATGGGCATGTCACAAGATCCACAGGACTTGCCAAAACAATCCAGCAAGGAACCGTACAAGGAAAGAGAAAGAGAGGAAGGCAGAGGAGGAGATGGGAGGACAACATTACAGAGTGGACAGGAAAGACGATGGGTGACAATCTGAGGAGAGCAGAGGACAAAAATAGATGGCGAAAGCTGGTTTTCCAATGCAGTGGTGCCCCAACGGTTGCCCCAACCACGGGATAGAAGAAGAAGAAGTATCAAAGGCAACGAACGTTTGTGACAACGCGCTCGTTTTTGTTTCAGCCTGGTCTGAATGGTCCAGAATTCGAGCATCAAAGGAAAGAGGGGGGGTTGGATATTGTCTTGCTTTCTTAAAAACGTTTAAGATTATCCATGAGCACACTGACCATACCATTTTAATTTTCAGGGACCTTTCAATTACACTGCGGGGTCTGTCCACTTTCATTTGCGTTTGTTCTTTATCAAGGTATTTGTGTTCAACAGTTTTGTTCTGTCTGGTATAAATGTCGCTGATTGCATTTGGCGTTGTGGTCTGATAAGTACAGACATGAATGTGGCCTATTTATTGTCAGTAGGCTCCTTCAGGAAGTTACTGACACAAGAAGAGAATTAATTGGCAATCAATGGTCCTCCTTCGTACAAAAGGTGACACTTCACATCTTTGGTTACCAAATTTTTAAAACAATATAGACAGCTAATTTGGTCCTTTTTATTATATAACGTAGCAGATGCGTTCAACGCCGTACTGACAAATCCGCTTCCAAGTCTATGCATACTAGACATAATCTGGTCCCTTTGGGTTTTGTGCAAGCTTCATATTAGATTCTTTCTCCTTCCTTGCATACATGATCACATAGATCCTTCCGACATCCATACAACACGTTGCTCTTTTGGAATATCTCTGTAAAGACATCTGGGACAATGTATGACTCTTTCCGTGTTCTTTGGTACTCTCTATAAAAGCCTCTGAGGCTTTGAAGGTGTTAGTCAAGATAGGTTTTTGCCTGTATTCTGTGTGTAGTAAAGGGAAAGCAATTTCGTCAAGTTTGTCGAAGAATTACTTTTCACAAAATTGCTTGTCCTCTTCTGCTCTTTGGTAATTTGACAATCATGGAGCTCCCATTCCCAAGTCATGTAAACTGTCTTTGCAATAGTCATGAGTAACCACTGTGTGAGGGCAGTTGAATACATACTCATTGTTTTTCATAAAGATAGAATGTATGACATTTGTTTCAAATTGAAGTGTAGAGCTGGAGAGTTGAAGTTGAAGGTTCGTTGAAGAGAGAATTTTCTGGGCGAATATGTTTATGAGTAGCTTTTTTTATTCGAGTGACAAATTACCATCTACCCAGCACTGATCAATGATTCAAGAATAGAACCTGACAGACTCAGCAAGGGGCGTACACTTAAAGTATATTAAGAAACGCGAAAAGTCGTGATAAAAGTATTTCCAATAGTTGTACCGATTGTTAAATAAGCGCCCCTTAGCTGTCAATCATAGACTTTGTACAAAATTCATTCGTCAGTAGCTTTTGTCACAATTTAACCGACTTTGTAGAGTCAGTATTAAAATATTCTTTGATGAAATCTTGCCCTTTCTCAACTACACTACCAATCCTAGTGATAGATTTCTCAAATTGCCTCGACAAAATCTTCTGGATATAGATAGGGTTCGATCTGAGTCGAAATTAGCAAAGACAGCACTTTGTTTTGACAAATGCCACAGTCCTGTGGGTCAGGCGGCCTACGCGACAGGTAAACACCTCAACAAGCCACTGAATCTGCGTGATTCAACCGCCCATTCGCCACCGGGCTGCAAAACTGGCACTTGGGCGGTTGAATCACGTGGAAATTGGGGACTGGTGTGGTTTACGCGATTGATTTATTGAAGGATTAAAACACTTTGTTGTAATCTTTCAAACTCGGGATTTTACCATAGGTGTATCAAAGGCTGTACTACATGAAGAGATCAAAAAGTGATTTTTGAAATCTTTGTCACTTAGGCAGGCGGTTGGCTCACGTGGCTAGCGATATGTTGTTTTCTTTCGTGTGCACAGGGCGATTGAGTTCAAAACAATTGTGAGGGAATATTTGATCAGAATTTCTGGGTTTTGGAGACTTCAACTCACCCATACAGGTGTTTGAGAAGACAGTATTATTGCCAATTTTGAAAAAATATAGCTGTTCGAGCGCCGCGCCTGTGTCATCTGTGCTGGACTATATCCAGTTTTCCCGTCTTTGTCATCTTGAAGGTTTCTCAGCCGGAGCCAAAGCAGTCGGAGGTGAAGGTTGCTGAAGCGTCTGGGTCAGAGGCTGCCAAGAGTGTGGAGGCCAGCCCACCCCCAGCAAACGATCCCAAGCCCTCGGCCGCGCAACCAGCGCCGGCAGTTGTGTCGCAGGAACACACGTCAACACGCGTGTCTCAGCCCCCCGGCGGCCGCTCCACCAAGCTGTGGTGATGTACCCACCAGCCCTGACTCCCTCAGACCACAGCTCCCTGCCTCTACACCAATGTCTTTATTGCTCGGTATAGAACTGTGGTCCACATTGCAGGAAATGTTTAGCTTTGTCAGGGGGTGAGAGATTTATCAATGTTATGTGGGCTGAGAATTGCACTGTCGGTTGTCAATTTATCTATAGTTCTATGGGCTGAGAGTTGTGAATTTTGAATATTTTATGGGATCTTTGAGCTTATGCTATAGATGCTTTTCCTTCCTCAAGAATTAAAGATAAAACCAGTTTGTTTGTTGAAAACCCTAACTTGTTTACATCGAGGACCATTTGAGTTTTGGTGGTTTTGTTATTTTTAAAAATTTCTTTTGACCTGCTTGTAGTTCCTTGTCCTTGCCATTCAATCAAAACATTCTTGCATTGTTTTTGTTTATTTACCCCCACTTGTTATAAGCTGTCGTAGCATTCACATGTGTATATAGGACCAGGTTTCAGTATCTGACACATTGTGACATTGCTAAAAAATAGTTTTTGTTTGGCAAATTGCACTGCCTGTGAATATCCATGAACATATTATCCTGTACCCTGTAACACTGGTTGTGGATAAATACCCATCAAAAATAGTTTATGAGAGCTTCATGTGTCCCTTTAGCTTTCCCACCAATATCAGTGTATAGGCAATCGATATAAATCTGTGATCTGGATTATTTGTATTTTACAGTGAGGTGAGCACAACATTTTCTTTTTTCTGTCACTTTTCTTTGATTGATGTGTCTCCCTTTGATGTAGATGGCGTTGATACTCAGGTACAGCACAGAAAAATGGAACAGTGTATGAAATGAAAATCTTTCTACAAAACTGCAAGATTTGAATTTTTTGTGTTTACGTAATGTGTGTGAATCAACTACAGCAGTAGCTAGCTATAGTTTTGAGAGTGATGTAATCTTGAGAAATCTGTGTGATGTTTTCTGTAGTGTTTGCTGATTTTGTTGATCAGTTATGTCACACACGGTGTTGGTGTGAACTGTTCCGTGACCTTTTTTTAATATTTGCACTGTATTGAGGGGGAAGAGATGTCAGAGGGGTGTGGCAAAAGAAATGGAGGAATTTTTGTTTCATTTTGTGTGAGAATGGGTTATGCTTCATATATGGAAATGATGGGCAGAAGAAACATGACGCTCACACTTTTTTGTCTTGTGATAAGTGCTCACAGAAAATTTTTCATATACATAAGATGTACTGGGAACATACAACATGTTATACAGTGTTTGAGCTCACCATTTTGGAAGACTACTGGGCTTAACCATCATGGTGAATTTTTACACTGTTAATGACCATTTAGTAGACATCATGTCGATCATTGAGAAGAGTGCATACTAGTATTGTAGAAACAGCAATAGAACAAATATGAAAGTTTTTTTGTTTTTTTTTCCTATATCGTCACATAATGGTGAGAATTACATCAAGGGGAAATTCTGTCAAGACCAAAGAGTTATCAACTGTTGTCAAATTGTTGAATGTGAACATCACCTCATGTCTTCCAGCCTCGTTGAGATTATTTTTTTGTCTTCTCCGTAGTTCTCATTTCACTTTCTGTAGATACAGTGTCATTGCCATGGCAATGCTGCCTTCAACATGTCTGAGTAGATGGTTGAAAGAGGCCATGGCTTGTGTTGTATACTACAGTAAACACTGTCATAGAAGTCTCCAGTGCCTTAGCTAGGAGACACCCATGTGTGATTGTGTAGAAGTGAGCTAACCGTTGTCGCCTCTCTAGTGGTGTGAAGAAGCGTGTAGAGTCTGCAGGACATTAGTGACAGTTTCTCATCATGATATAGATCCACATGTGTCGACCATTTTTTGCACCACATCGTTTGTAAGATGAAGACGAAATTAATTGTTGGTATGTGAAGTATGTCGGGTAGTTTACTTAATTTTAGCAGCTCCCAGCATAAATTTTTGCGGGAATCGGAACAAATCAAAATAGAACAAACTCCCATCTTTTTGTTGTAACTGATATTGGTCTGCTATGTGTGTATGTGTCCAAGGATGACCCAGAGAAAATTACAGAAATGAGAAGTGGTTCGGGGGTGCTTTGGTATGTTGTGCTCCTTTCCAATCGAACGTCTACTGTCCCTGTCTCTCCTCCTTCTTTGCGTTGTACTCTCCAGTAACACCTCTAGTCTTCGGCACTTATAAATTACCTATTTGTGTTGCAATTGCAAGTGTTTGGACGTGTGTCCCTTGCAGTGGATGGTTGGAGGGGGTCACTAGTTAGTCCACCTTCTTTTCTCTCACTGTTATTTCTGTCTGTGTGTCTCACTTTTTTCCGAACAAGAAATGACTCTTTTAATAATGATATGTTTTTCTTTATTCAAACCACCCTGCTCCATGTTGTGAGGCATATCTCTGTGTCTAGTAGCTATGGCAGTATGTCATCTTCTGTCTGTGTCTGTATCTGACACCATGTAGTGTGGCATATATCCCTGTGTGTCTAGCACTTACAATATGTCATCATCTGTTCTTTGTCTGTTTCTAACACAACATAGTGCAGCCCGAGCAGTCTGTCGCTATCCGTCCTCAGTTTGTGTCTATATCTGACGATCACATACTAGAATCTTACAGGGTTTCTTCTTTTTGTTTTTAACACTTTTAAATGTAGTGTAGCCCAACGTTTTGCTTTAGTCTTGACTTGGCATTGCTTTGGACTTGTTGTGCCCTGGTGACATACCTGTTCATATGTCATTTTTTGAATTTCGTTCTGCACTGTTATAACTCTAGCCTTTTCACTCTGATGGTCAGTCAGTTTTGTGTCCCATTCTAAGTTTAGCATTCTCAGTCCCTCATGTTTTATTTGCTTTGTTATGTGCACCTTACAGGTTGTGGTTTCTTGTATAGCTGGCTGACCTCTGAACCCTCTCTCGTGTAGTGATAGAAATAACAGGACTACTCATTTCCTGTCCATTTCCTTTGTATTTGTCAAGGTGTTTGTGTCTAAAAAAATAGAGTGCTGTAGGCCTACCTCCTCTTATCAGGAATACAGTAAGGACTGAAAAGACTGCTATTATTGGAGCCTGTGGGGAATAGTAGATTTGTATTTCTAGGCTCACTAGTTTTGTAAAAATTTGTTTGTATCATTTAATTTGTTTTTGTTTCTTTATTGGGGGGTGTCAACTAACATTATTTGTTTACTAAAATCTGTACTTATTTTGTACAGGAATTTGTGACCAATAGATTGGTTCTGAAAACCAAAAGCATTATGTTATAAAAGCATTCCGATACACTTTTTTCCCTATGTTATGGGCTTCATTTGGTTCCTTTTCCCACCATTGCTAGTCTTCATTTCAGTACAGTAAATAAGAACAAGCTTGCTTAGCCCTTTTTCCTCGTTCAGATCTTTTTATAGCTGGGATTTCCTTTGCTCACCTTTGTTTTGCTAGTCTGTTTTCGGTCATGTGTGTCCTAGTTTTAAGTTTCAAACTTCCTTTGTTGACTTTCCCAGGCTGCAGTTAGCTACACTGGCTAAGTATCTATTCTAGTAAACTGGAAATTTGATCTTAAGGATACTGTTTATCTTTTTGTTGTGGGTGTGGTAAATGGGACTATGGTTACGACGTAGCAGTCTTGTTTCTTCACGAGCACATGTTATATTGTATTTGATACATTATTGGGAAGGTTGATTGTGTGTAATTGTGACTCAAGCTCTCTTACTCTTACTGTTGTGTTGTTCTGTTGCTTCGTGTACTATATCGTTCTTGACACTGCATGCTTCAGCAATGTTTTGTATATTATATAGACACTGCATGCTTCAGCAATGTTTTGTATATTATATAGACACTGCATGCTTCAGCAATGTTTTGTGTATTATATAGACACTGCATGCTTCAGCAATGTTTTGTATGTATATTATATTTAGACCTATAGCTACTGCTCCACGACACGTTTATTTCAAGAGCTTTTGATTTTTCCTTCCAAACTGTTTTATGTTGGCTTGGTAAGGACTTGGGTCAAAAGATATTTCCTTTCCCGTGATCACAACAGTGTCATTAGAATAGGTCAGTGTAGTTTGATGATCGAGTAGTGGGTACTGTTACTATCAATGCAGTTTGACCTCACAGTTCTTGTTGACTGCTATGCCATAGATATCTCTCTCTATGCATCTCTTCCTCTGCTGTATTCTTCTCTGCCGTTCATAATATATTTTGTCTCCTGAAACAATACAACTACTTTGTAAGTTTGGGCACTTTTTATCCAGATAAAAGGGTTAAGGTATAGTTTATCTGTTAGATCTTTATTTTGTTACCGTGTTTCACAACCTTCGCTGCAGTCTTCACCAATAGGTTGTTTGCTCTTGTTCTGTTTTGACTCAGCAATACTTTTTTCTATTGCTGTTTTGCTAGTTTTCTAGCATGTTGTCAGTTCTGCTTCTCTGCGTTTGTTTATGTTTGCTAGAGATATGTTAGTGTTGTTTGATTTGTTATTCTCATGTTTGCTGGCGATGTTGTATCTACCAGTCTTGCTTTTTATTAGCTCTTAATAACTGTAATAGTGTGGACGTACTGCTCTTTATTCACTGTTATTGTGTGTATAAACTTCACTTTACTGAAACTTTGTGCTCAATGTAAGACATGCTGGCTTCCTCTGTGGGCCTGGTGCTGTGAAGGAGTTATTTTATCCCCAACAAGATTTGAGAACTTTTTTCGTAATGCCATCCTGTCACTTTGCTAACATTTTTTAAAAGAAGCTTTGTGCTTCTTTGTTTTCAACATGGAACAACAACCTGAGAACAAGACCTGAAGTTGCTGGTTCAGGATTTTGAACATCGAAGGTTATGAAAGTTACTTTTGCCTGTGTCGTGTGTCTATGAGCTTTCTTATCCAGGAGACTGCTAGTTCTGTGATGTGCTCACCGAGTTGATTTACTGATGTGAGGTGACCAAACAAACCTTTCTGTCACATTCTCTTCTTGAGTACTGTTTGAGACTAAAAGTAAAAGTTTTATTTGTTTTGTTTTTTTCAACATTTTGATTCATGACAATTAAGGTTTCCCGGTCTTCTGTCATTGATTGAAATTGTTCACCGACTGCTTTTTGATTTACCATGGCTTGTTTTGTCACGCTGTGTCAAGCCTTGATGACATTTCCTCACACAGTACGATACTGCCTGCAGTGCAGCACAAAATCTAGGACCTTCGTTGCAGCTCTAGATACTTCCTAGTCTCTCTTATTTGACGATATAAAGAAACTTTTATTTATTTTTTTACTGTAACTAATGCTTTGTCTAATAAAATTCTGCTGCTTCACTTGATGCCTGATCTAACTTTTAACGAATGCAACCTCCTTTTGTAAGTCTTTACGGCATTACTGGGGTTTTTTTTTGTCGCTAGTTGTGGAGACTTCTTCATGTTAAATTCTTTCCATGTAGTCAACTTGCTTGTACATGCACATTGTTGACATTTGAAAAGAATGGAAGGGCTAAAACCAGCTTAAAATTCTGTGTGACTTTAGTGTACGTGTAAGAAATAAGTCTTGTGATGGGCTATAGAAATGTGCTTATGAATCTTGGGGCAAAATGTGAATAGGTTTTTGTCTTTCTCTTTACAAAACGATCAAATCAACATCTGTGTTATCCCTTATTCCAAAACACAGAATTCTCTCTCTCTCACAAAACGATCAAATATCTCTGGGATCCCCTGTTTCTCTCTCGCACTCACACAAAATGGTCAAATATCTAGACCGATGGGGTCCTTTTATATTTCTCAATAATATTTAATGATTCCCCCATTGTAACAGGTGTGTAGGTTTCTCTCTCTCTCTCTCTCTCTCTCTCTCTCTCTCTCTCTCT